TCAAAGAGCTCTACTAACTTGCATGCATCTGATGTATCAAGAGGTTTTCTAAAATCGCAATAGTTTGCCCAGATTGAGGTTCATCTTTGACTTCTTCGTTCTAGGCTGCGATGAGTCGTGAAGAGGTTTGTACAAAACTGTTCAAAAGACGCTTTGAGTCCAAAAGTATGACATAAGTTTCAATTGGTTTGGGCAGCGGACATGGATTCCATCTCGTAGAGAAGTTTATATAGAATGGGGATAGACAGACAGTTCGGCCATTATTCGGATGATGAAAGGCACGGTTCACGATAAAAAAGGTTACTGAGTTCTATCTTATCAATACTCAGCGGCCCCCATGGGTGGTAGAAGGGACCTTCGCGCTCCCACAATCTCGACGTTTAGGGCATAGTGGAAGCCCTGTTGCTGCCGTAATTGACTTTTCCGCTCCTCGATCGATGTCACTTCAGACGAGTGTCGAGACAATATAGATTGCAACCATCCGTTCTAAGACCCATACACAATCAGCTGAGCTACTTTTGCTGTTACTAGGGTTCTTCTGTTTACTTATGCTTATAAGTGAATGAATTTTTGCTTACCGTAGTCTGTTATTCGCACCAGGACCCACACGTACGCAGTGAGAAACATTGTTTAGCTTGTCGAAACGCCCACTCTTCTTCATTTTCCGGTCTCATTCTCGTCCAGCCCCTTTTTAACGGTTTTTCGAAGCCTTCTTTCACTTTGGAAACGCCGATTCAGCAGTTTCTTCACCTTCATCGTACTATTTTCGATCTTGTCGTCCATTTTCATCATAATCTGGATTACCCAAAATTATCATGAACTGTGCCTTTAAGCGAAGAAGTGGTACGAAAGTGTTGGACATGTATACGCGGGGTAAGTGTCACATAGAAACCCCACGAAAGCTTCCAAAAAATTTCGGAAGATATTTTCGGAAGATACTTGCCACAAAACTTAATACAATCAGAAAATTATTGTCGTGTTGAAAAAATTGAAACATTGTACAGCGACTTTGGAAGGTCCGAACCTGGTCGTCGCTATCACTGCCGCACTGTGAAAATATCTCTAGCAGTATCTAACAAACTACCGATGGATGTTTCGCACAAGAGCATACCTGTTTTGCTTCTGTATAATGGTGCTTTATAAACATTCTCAAATTCTAGATAAAGATACAAGAAAAAAAAGCGAGAATCACTATCAAGGAAGGTCTTTCAAGACGCGGGACGCTTTTTGAAAATAGTTTTTTGCATGGTGTAGGGGCATGAGCACTGAGTATAGAACTGTGGCCCATTTCCGCTAAATGGCCTTCTGAATGCCAAAAAAGGAGTGAAAATGATTTGGTCAGAAATTGCCGTTTTAGCCAAGTGAGCGTCGTTTGTTTCATTCATGGCGTCGACTGTCCGCACAGTAGAAGGCGCCAGTGGACTTCTGGTAGCCAAAAAAAGTGAGCCACATGTTGAAACATGTTGAAAAGCGCGAGGAAGTTTCATATATGCTCTCCACGGCTAAACTGTCAACAGCGACGGATGGTGTGGTGGA